CTATCAGTTACATACTGAGTTGTATGACTCAGCATGCAACTGACAATGTCTATTGTGATTTCTTGGCTTGGGGCAATTTGGCTCCAACAGGCATGCTGTCTGTGTAGCCATACAAAAGGATTCTGGCCACTGGATGGTAAAGAAAACTTGCTCCAGGAAGAAAGTAGGAAAAGCTGTAAACACACTGGGCCTAGTGCTAGATTGGGGGAGCATTAGAATGCGAGATCCAGATTCTGTCAAGAGTCAAAGGAACAACTGGGGGATTTCTCTCATTGCCGCATTATGATCTGATCATTCCATGGCAATGAGATCCACAGGATAGGAAGGACGCAGCATTTCTTCCTAGCATGGATTTTAATGGACCGTGCGGTTCCTTGACTGCGGCCTGACAATGAATATATGTTAGAAAAGCTTGCTCAGAGTCCTTGTCTCTGAGGCAACAGGGTTTGTGCTGGAGGAGCAAATGCTTCTTGCTTAAAGGCAGTGTACCACTTGGAGAGAAGGACAATATAGCAGACCTTGAACTTGTGCTCATCGCTTGTGCTTTTGTGTGGCTTCATGACTGTTTGCTGCTCCTTTCTTTTTCTATTATTGCCTTTGGAATAGGACTATTTAAAAAAAAACCCTAAACTCAGAACAATCTGTGAGCTATTTCAGTACTTAAAAAACACCTAAACTCAGAACAATCTGTGAGCTATTTCTGCCTTTTAAAAATGATTATTGAGGTATTGGTTATGTTCATGTCCTGTATTTCTTTCTATGTCAAGTGGGCTCTCCTTCCATCTGTATTGTCACAACAACTCTATGAGGTTAGGTAGACTGTGGGAGTTTTATTCTCCCAGGATTATCCAGGGTATTTTTGCAGCCAAGAGGTGGATTTGAACTCAGGGATCCCAAGTCCTAGTCCTGCGCTGTAATCATCATGCTGCGTTGACTCTCTTAGTGAAAAAGACCAACATCGTTCTTTCCTGTGGGTCCATGGTTGGAATTGCATAGGTAGTGTTGCGCAATGGAGTATCCTGACTCCCAATGCAATCTTAGAATTTAGATAGAAACAGGTGCTAAAGTCTCATAAACCTCAGCTTGTTTGATGAACTTAAAAATTAGTATTGTTGAGGAACAGGATAGAGGGGATCTCACCTGCTTGGACACCTAAACATTGTCAAAGGTTAGTTAAGTGTAATACCTAAATAAACCTGTCTTTCGGGAACTTCTGTAGTGTGGACTTTTCACTTTGCTTGAAATTACAGCTTGCTTTGTTAGGATACAAACATGTTAGAGAATGTTAAGTATCTCTTTTCGCAGGTTTGCCATGTTAGCCTATTATTTCAACATTGTAACAAAAGGTTGCATGGCATCTTTAAGCCTAAGAGTTTTATTATAGTGTGAGTTTTTAAGTCGGATCCCTTTGCGTTCATTGAAAAATCTGGAGTCTTTTACAAATATTTATTTAAATAATACTAACACTATTAATTTATATACTGTACATTCGTATGTTTCTCTGTCCATCTCCACTCACACCCTCTTTCTGATTCTCCTTGGCAGAGTCATATCCAAACATCAAATAATTTTGTACACAGGGCTGTAATTACAGTGGGGTCTCTACTTAAGAACTTAATCCGTATTGGAAGGTGGTTCTCAAGTTGAAACGTTCTTATGTTGAATCTGCATTTCCCATAGGAATGCATTGAAAACCATTTAATCCGTATCTGCTCTTTTCCGTCCATAGAAACTACAGTGGAACCTCTACTTAAGGACTTAATAATCCCTTTTGGAATGGTGTTTTTAAGTTGAAATGTTCTTAAGTTGAAGCAAAATTTCCCATAGGAATGGACTGAAAGCCAATTAATCCGTTCTGGCTGTTTTTTTGTTATGTAGAGGTGCGTTCGTACATTGAAGCATTAGTTCCCATAGGAACTAATGCAAAGCTGGTTAATATGTACTCTACCACTAGGGGGAGAATTTTTTTTAACCTAAGATGACCTAAGGTTAAAAAAAGAGCAGGAAAGGTTTTTTTTTCCTGTTCTTAACTTGGATTTCTTTTCTCAAGTAGAAGCAAAATTTAGCAAATGGAGCTGTTCTTAAGTTGGATTGTTCTTAAGTAGGGACGTTCTTAAGTAGAGACCCCACTGTACACACAAGGTGTTATGTTCCTTTTTATGGATATCATAGACCTTCAGAAAGACCAGTAAGTGGGTTCTAGAAGCCAGAATGATTAAACTTTAGACATATCATGAGAAGACTGGAAAAGAGGATTTGCTGAGGAAAAGTGAAAGGCAGCAGGCAAAGAGGAAAACATAACATGAGATTGATTGACTAGAAAGAATGACACTCTTTCATTTGCAAGTCCTGTTCAGGGTTGTTAATGATGGGACATTTTTGGGGATATTGACATACACTACAGGGTTCTGATAAGTTAGAAGCCACTTGATGCTATAGAACAGCAACAACAACTTCCTTCCCCTCTGTTGCACTAGGACTGGAGAGAGGTGGGTTTAAATGACTATCTAGCCATAAAGTTCATGACCTCAGGATCATCAGTGCCCCCCCCCCAAGCTAACCTACATTCCAGGCTTGCTGCAAAACTAAATTGAGAGTGGAAAAGCCAATACACTGTCTTGAGATTCTTGGAGGACTAGTACTCAGAGCTTGGGGGGGGAGGGGAAGATTTGGGACTTTGGCAGCCAGAATTCCAAGCTAAGAAGAGAGGAGTAAGCAAAGTATTTGTGTGAATGGTGGGTTTTGATAACATTTGCTACTAAGGCTAGTTATTTGCCTTTGACCAGGTAAATGCAATCTGGATTGCTGAGATGCTTTTAATGAATTGCTCCAGCCCGTCATCACAGTGTAGAAAACTAACTACTGTTTCATTTCTCCTTGCCAGCATGTGAAGCCAAGTGCTTTTTGGTTATAGTCAAAAATAGTTCTTATGCACAACGGCTCTTAAATGTAATATGAACAGTAGAATTCTGCTTGAAGCAGGGTAGGGGACTCAGTTTCTCTGACTTTTCTACCTTGAAACGTTATAATCTAGATCCATTTTCCTCCAAAGGAAGAAGTGGAATGTTGAGGAAACCCGTAGGTAAATCCGTTTGTATCATAATTTAAGTCAACTTCATTAGATTGGATTAAAAAAAAAAAATTAAACCTACATAGAGGTCCTAAGACAAAATGAAAGAAAAAGGCATTGACCTGTGTATCTTGTTGATCAAGCAGCTGTCAAGGGGGAGTTATTTTTCTTTTTAAGTTTTTCTGGCTGTTTTCAAGAATTGTATAAGAATATCTTAGTTGAAGGGTGTGTGGCATAAACTGAAGCAGTATCAGGACTGTATCTCCTTGATTTAGGACTGTTTTGTGGAACTGAAAGTGTCCATGTAAGTCAGACAGGAGGTGAGAGTGTCTTCTTCATTTCTGTCTTCTTGAACCAGTGAGGAAAATAGCCCTCTGTTTTCTGACTGGTCAAACGATGGCTCTTGGGATTGAGAATTCCAAATCATTCCCACCTCTGCTGCACATTTTCTGAGAACTCCTGACCTAATAGCAAAGGGAATAGAAACTTTTGGAGAGTAGTTAAAGGAAACCTGAAGGAGCCTGGATATTGAATCATCTTATGGGGGAAGATTTTAAAAAATCTGATGTGGAATCTGGCCAGTAGTCCATCCAGCTCTTAGTGTCTGTCCTGACTAGAACTTGTTCTTCAGAATCATTGGAAAGGCCCCTAATACAATCGTTTTTGGAAAGTGAAAAATCCACTAAATCAATCAATGAATCAGTCTGTCTGTCTGTCGTTTTGGCTTTTTGGAACTGTTATGCTTTCATCATAACATATTTGATGTTTAAAGAATGACTCTTATTTCCATAGTATTAAGACATCAGAGCGAAACATGGTTAGAGGTGGTTTGCTGGAGTGATGTATGAATTGACAAACCAAAGTTTGTGTTTGGCCAGCAAATCACAATAAGAAACCATGTGTTGAAGTAGGTATTCAAACCACAGTTTGTACTAACTCCAGTTAGAGGGAGCTTAAACTGGAGTTAGTGCATGTGTGGTTTGTGTAGAGAGAACTCTGTGCACAGAAAGGGAAAAAAGACTGTACTGCTAGTTACATTTTTTTTACCACTTCCCAGCTGTGCCTCTTTTGTCCATGCATTCTTTATTGAAATCTGCCTCTGGTTTGAGATTCCTATCTAGAAAATATCCAGAATATATGGAAACAGATCAGTGTAGAAGTCTACATGTATTGGGGTTGGGATCAGTAGGCATGACTCTTTTTATGCAAGAAGACTCTTTTGCTTCAGTAACACATAAGAGGGCTTTGTTGTGATGTTTGAATTGTCACTCTTCCTAACAGGGAGGTATTAGTGAACTAGTGGACATGAAAGTTGAGCGGGACAAAGATGGCAGGCATGAACCATTGTTTGCTTGTTCTATGTTTAGAAATTTGATTTGTGGCCTGTGTTCTTAGTTATTATCATAAAGCAAGGGTGGCAGCGTATATATCTTCTACATAACACAAAGTGTTATTTTTATTTTGTCTGAAAGAGTTTGCAAGGGGGATTTTCTGGATTTTTTTTAAAAAAAGGTTTCCATTCCACATGAATGTTGAGGTTGGGGTCCCTCCTGAAGTCCAGGGGTGACTGAATGTAGTCCCCTGACCTCTGTAGGTTGCACACTTCTCACATAAAGCATGGCTTGATGAGTTGTCTGATTTCAGTCATGTGTTACAAAGTCCCTCTTTGGGTATATTGTCGGCATGCTCATTTTACATTCACTATTGGTGAGCAATTTGCCAAGTCCAGGAAGTGTTTCTAGGGTTGAGAAGTTGTCATATTTCTAGCATTCTGCCTAACCATGCTGGTCTTTGCGATAGTCTAAACTGGCTATGAGCGGAGTTCTGTTTAAAGTACATTCACCAAAACTTTCCATTTATTGGCATTGTGATGAAATGCACAGCAGGACTTCATTCATCGTTTGTCTTGACTCTGGCTTGTTAGAATTTGCTTTTCATCTCCTCTGCCAACAGACCTCTGTTCCAATGGAACTAATGCAGTTCATCAAATGTCTGCTTAGAAGTACTGTTTAATTTTCCCTTTCTTAATCTTGCCCCCTTTCTCTAAGCTGCATCCTAACAGGTAATAACTACTGTAGCATGTCACCTGATCAGATACCTATCCTGCTGTATGTTTATGGATGTTGTGCATTCCTGTTTTTGCTTTTGCTTGTCCCTCTCATATAGAAATCAGATCTTTTTGAGAAATACATAACAGAAACAGCCTTAAGAGCAATCCTCCTCAACTTGATGTCATCTAGAGCCCTGGTTCCCAACCTTGGGTTACTCAGGAGTTTTGGACTGCAACTCCCAGAAGCCTTCACCACCAACTGTGCTGGCAGGGGTTTCTGGGAGTTGCAGTTAAAAAACATCCGAGTAACAAAGGTTGGGAACCACTGATCTAGAGGATGGAGTATAATTCCCATGAACTAATTCTTAAGTCTTATCCTGAAAGGTGGCACAAAGGTGGATGTGTTTCTGTGTGTATTATTAAACTGTAAATTGAGGGTGCTTTCTAATCAAGGAACTGATATTTTCAGTTTTTGCTTTTGCTTATTGTTTCTTTCAAGCAACAGCTCCATTTCTCCTACCAAGTTTTGTTGCTGGAGTGGATGGCTGGTTGTCTGAGCGGTCTCTTTTGAAATACCTAGATTCTCTGGAACATCAGGTTTAAAGCATGGCAGGGTTTCAAACTGCTGTGGCATGTTAACTGATACTGTACTGTGAGTAAGGCCTTACTTAATATGAAACTAAATAATTTCAGCTTGGGTGCTGCTCTTCCATTTGAAGGGCTCAGCACCTTTTTCATCTTGGGAGATCTCCGATCCAGCAGATGATAAGGCCAGACCTCTTCAGCTTCAAGTAGCCAGTGACAAGTTTCAGATCATCCTCTTGGCCAGTTGTTGTGAACCTTAGGTTCCCAAACATTGTGGGATGTCAGCTGCAAGTGTGTGGACCTCTGGGGCTTGTCATTTGACACCAACCTTTGTGGACCTATATATATAATCATTGCTGTAGCCATCACTGTGTTGACTCTTTGTGAGAAATAATGACTACAGATATTGTCAATATATCTCAGGGGTTCCAGAACAGTATCTTGTGATGGAAAGAACCTCTGACCTTATTGTTGTCCTAATAATTGTTTTCACAGGTGATTAGTCACCTCTTGGCTTCTGTTCTTACAGGATGTTACCCAGTCCAGTTCTGTTCTCACAATTATAAGCGTGAGAAAATTTGTAGCTAATGCTCATCTGATCATATAACAGTGTGAACTTTTGAAAGCATGTTTGCAAAATGGAAAACATGTTTTAGGGTGGGTTGGGAAGGATAGTTATAGAGCAAGTTCCTTTCGTGCTTTAAGTCATGGATGGCTCTATATTTCAGGTTGCATTTGAGGAGATTTTGTAATGTCTCTGTATTAAAGCTATGAGAACACTTGGATTTTTCTATCCAATTTTAAATATTTTTATTCATTCTTTTTTTGTTCATTTTCATGCTTCTTTTTTCTTGGTGAAGGGACTGAAGGTAGCTCACAAATTATTTAACACAAACAAACAAATGGACAAAGGCTTATCTGAATTAAGCTTCTGTATATTTGCCCTCATCCAGTCCATTGCTGATTCCAGATTCTGGTCTAGAACAGAAAAAGTTTCCCTGGAATGAGACGGAAAGGAGATTGTCAGGAGATTAGCATCAAATCTTCAAACTCCTAACAACCTCTCCTGATAGAGAACAGAACCCTGAGGAACCCCACAAATCAGCAACCAAAGTATTGAACAGGCACTCCCTCAGCACCACCTTTTGGGCTCATGCCTCCTGGATGGACTAGGACCACTGCGAAACTTTACTACCAAGTTCTCGTGCCAAAGAGATGACCCAAAATGATACCATGTTGATCGTATCAGAAGATGCTGAGGGGTTCAGCAGGATCAACAGGGACCCACTCTGCCTTCTGGTTCCTGGTGTAGGTCACCAAGGTGATCAAAGTTCTTCCCATAACCAGGCCTGAAGACAGATTAAAATGAATTCAAATAATACATTTCCTCCCAGAACCCTTGGGCTGAGAAGCCAATACATATGCTTGTCCCCCGGCCAGAAATGGGATATTGGATACTGGTCTATAATTGTCCTGTAATGTAGGGTTCAAGGAGGGCTCTTTCAGTCACTGTTTTACTGCTGCCTCTTTAGGCAGAGTAGAGCCCTGCCTTACTGCAAAGAAGCATTCAGGCAGCTTTTACCAACTTGGCTAGTCATCCACTGGCTGTTTTCATAGGCTAGGAAGGGCAAGGGTCCATCCAGCAGACACATCCACTAGTGATGTATAAAAATAGTAATTAAGTAATCTCCTTACACTTCATGTTTTGATGTTTATATTATAAGTCAAATTTGTTACAACTTGCAATATTTTCAGGTGCCTTTCTTCCATTAAAAGATTATAGTGCATGGTGAATATCTTCCACGGATCATATCCTAATACTGTTTTTAAACTATTCAGCCTACGAAGAAATGGATGTGGACAAAATTGCAGTGTGGCTTGGAAAGTTCTTAATAATGGAGAGTTGCACTAGAGTGGCTAAACAAATCTTTAATAGATGTATTTGTACTTTGGTGTGTAGGATTCTGTCCCCATGAGTTTTCTAAAATATGTGACTGTTGTTAAAAAAAAAAAAAGAGCTACACAAGTATGCACAGATTACACTGCTGGCTAGCCATTGATCCAATAACTTTCATTAAATAATATATCCTGGCATTATCCAAAGCAATATGAATGCACCTGACAAACGTCTGATGCTAAACCAGATAGACGGAAGTGCAGATCTTCAGAAATACGATGGGACCCTGGGTTTAGTTGTCACGTCCTGTCATGTTTTTCCACTGTTTTTAGAATACAACATCTTATGACAACCTTCTCTCTGCGAATCTGGTGTAGAAAACTGGATCTCTGGCATCTTAAATCAGCAACGCCTAGGCCTGCACCTGGCTAAACCTAGTTGCTTCCAGTAACAAATAATTATAATAGACCCCTTATTTTATTTTTCAGAGATTTCATCCTTTTTTTTTTGTAATGAAAATTAATATATAGGACAGCATACAGTAAGAAAATGTAGATCGAAAGCTGGAACAAAAACTAACCCTCTAAATACTTTGGAGAGTCCTAATCCCAGCCAGTATTAAGAGGCTGTTTAAGTTGCAAGTCCAAAAGATCTGGAAGGGTAAAGATTCCTCACCGTTGTTTTAAGGAAGGACTGTGTCAGGTGGGCATATAAGAGAAATTAGCAAATTAGGAGTCAGTAAGAGAGCTAGATATGGGCATAAATATTAAAAACATAGTCCGTTTGATTGTAGCTCCCAGGCTCCCACTTTAGCCCCTTTCTCTTAATTTACACAGAACAGCTAATCACTTTGTGCCTAGCTGCCATAAAGATAAAATTTTAATGCCTTCTCCTCATAAACTGTAACTACTTAATGTAGATGCTAGAATGCTAACACGGTTGCTGCGGATTTTGGAGAATGCTTGGTATTTGAAGAAAAAGATATCTTCAGAGTTAAAAATGCATAGTATGGAACAATTTCAAATAGATGTACCACTTTGAAATGAGCCTTCATAAGAAAATGTACCCAGTAGTTAGTGAACAAGGACCTAACCAGTTACTTCGCTAACTTTATTTGCTGAAAAACATCTGCATGATCCTTAAATTTTTTTCTTAATATTGCTTCTTGCTGCCCCCCCCCCAACTCCCTTCATTTGATGGTAAATGAAGCATTTACAGTGGGGTCTCTACTTAAGAACGTCTCTACTTAAGAACAATCCAACTTAAGAACAGCTCCATTTGCTAAATTTTGCTTCTACTTGAGAACAGAAATCCAAGATAAGAACAGGGGAAAAAAACCTTTCCTGCTCTTTTTTTAACCTTAGGTCATCTTAGGTTAAAAAAAATTCTCCCCCTAGTGGTAAAGTATGTATTAACCAGCTTTGCATTAGTTCCTATGGGAACTAATGCTTCAATGTACGAACGCATCTCTACATAACAAAAAAACAGCCAGAACGGATTAATTGGTTTTCAGTCCATTCCTATGGGAAATTTTGCTTCAATTTAAGAACGTTTCAACGTAAGAACACCATTCCAAAACAGATTAAGTTCTTAAGTAGAGGTTCCACTGTAGTTTCTATGGACGGAAAAGAGCAGATACGGATTAAATGGTTTTCAATGCATTCCTATGGGAAATGCAGATTCAACATAAGAACTTTTCAACTTGAGAACCACCTTCCAATACGGATTAAGTTCTTAAGTAGAGACCCCACTGTATAGTTTATAGTATTTTTAGCTCACTTGCAGGTGAATAAGATACAAACTATTTCACAGGGCCCATCTTTTACTCAGCTGTTGGGCTTGCCCGTTGCTTAACAGCATCCTTTCCTGATCCACCCTTTCCACTCATACCATCTGCAGCCAACATGGTCATATTGAATAGGATGGTGGAGGCTGTCATCAGGCACATCTGGAAGATCTCAGATCCCAGAAGGTCTCTCACTAAGTAGCTATATTCTACTTAGGATTTCAGATCATTGTTTGCAACAGTGCATTATGAGGAGAGATCCAGTACTGTATCATTTGTAGGGTCTTTTGAAGAACGTGTTTTTCTGCTAGCAAATCCAGTAGTGAAGTGCCAGCTGGCTTCACCTATGGTATAATACAGCCTCCATTAACTGTTCTAGCGAAGAAAGGATACACCCAAATATCAGGTCCTACTACTGTAATAGAAAATATATTAGCTATGTTGTCTGTGCATATTTTATTTTCCATGTCCAACTTTGAGGATCCAGTGTGTTCCATGTATTCTCCAGTTCTTGTCAAAGAGCTATGTGTCCCTGTTTCCAGTTAAACTAGCCACAGATTCAGTAACATCCAGTAATGATATATGATTATAGGTTTCTTCTGCAGCAGCTGGAGGTGAAAGCTTTCCCCCTTTTCCCCGTGATCTGATGAATCTGGCACCAGATGCTCTTTAATCTTTACTGCCATTGCTGCTCATTCTGCATAAAGTGATGGTGGAGAGGAGAGCCAAGTCCCTGCCCACAGG